AAGATCGTGGGTCTGGGACTCAGGTGATCTGGGTTCTAGTCACCACTCAGTCATGGAGCCAAGAGGGTATTTTGGGCCAGTCACACACTCACAGCCCAATGTACCTCACAGGGTTGTTGTTGTGGGGAGAAGGATGAGAGCAGCAGGGAGAGAATGATGTAAGCTCCTTTTAGTTCCTTGCAAAAAGCAGGATGTTAATCTATTAAATAAATAATTTTGGGGAAGGGACTCAATCAGGATTACCACTTCCCTCCATCAGTAGTGATATTTCAACTGTAATTGGGACTGTTGTTTTCCAACTAATTGAGACTATTTTCCTGACACTGTTCAAGATGGTTCAGCTGGTCTGTGGAGGAAGGTGGGTAAAATTTATCCAGGTTCCCAGCAGATATATGGAGAACTGAGGGTTTTGTGCACCTTGCAGGCCTCACATTGCCCACTCTTGAGGTCTTAGGAAAGGTTCAAGCACATACCCAGGGCAAAAACACAGGGGGGGAAGTCTAAAGTTGTTTTCATGACACAGGCACTTCTTTGCTTTTGCTCACAACTCTTCCAAAAGCTCCCACCCACTGCATGACATAATCTGGTAAACCTTGGAAACCTACAACATGATTTACTGCACAAGTAGTCCATAATGCAACAATTCAAGAGAAATACAGCTTTCCTCAGTTCAAGTGAACAGTTTAATTGTTATCATTTCTTAGGATCTGTACTGATTGCAGATACTATTAGTATTTATGTTCCATTATTAACATTTACACAATTCTCCTGTAATATACTTTCATATATTTTCAGTTCAAAATATAAGGGTATCAATTGGAAAAAACTAATACTGTGCTAATCACTTTCTTTCCATTTTTTCTGTGACTAAATTTCTTTGGCAAATAAAAACAAAACTATTTCTCATAGCATTAATAACAAATAGCAGTTGTATTCTTGTCAGAAGATGCTAGATGTCCCAGTCAGCAACTTGCCGGCATCTATGCTGCCTTCTGTTGTCATTTGTCCCCAGCTACTGCCTTCAATCTGTATCTTGCTCTTAATGTTATTTACAAGCTTAAAGTATGAAACTGATGGTACTCTGTCATGCTGTGGGGATATTTTGTTTGCTATCTCCACAAAAATTACTTAATTGTAAATCTTTATGTTTACTTTGGAAATAGAGCATGGCTGGAGGTTAGATTTTACTGGCACAGTGGCATAGGAGGCCGCATCGTGCTGAAAATGTGGAAGACATTGAGGAGATTAACTTGACAATCACCCACCAACATTAAGTTGTACTTCAAAGGGTAATCATTATTATTCTGAAGAGAACTTTCAAACCATTGCTGGCACTCACCCAGCCTTCCTCCCAGCTCTTCAAATATTTCCTAACTCTTGCTTTCTCTGACATCTTTTCAATCCACTGTAATCCCTAAGTAGACACTTGTGCACCCTGCACTGATTCTGCATAATACTGCTACTAACCTGCAAGTGTAGTACATTTTAATTTATTTATTGGTAGAATCTAAGCTTTAATATGGTCATGTAACATTTGCATACTTGGAGCATGATGAATATACTCAACAACTGAACCAGCATTAAATCACCATAATGCATGCTTGTGTAAATGGTTAGTTGATCATCTGTAACATCTTCAGAAGTGACTATTGCCATAATCTGTTAACCAAAGGACATCTGTCCAGGAAAGAAGAGAAAGTTGAAAAATTCACCCTATCACATGACAAGATAACATAGGGCGCTTCCAGATGGAGAACTCATGGTTTGGAAGTGCACTGTGCAGCTACTCTGTCTTTACTTTCTTCATGAATTTTTCCACCACGCTTTATTAACGGTCCCAATCTTTTTATCCAACTATACATTAGAAAGTAATTTACGACTACAATCCTAAACACCTTTGCCAGATGCAACTATTATTGTGCTCTAGAAGGCTGAAGAATTCTCTGGAACAGATGTGGGTGTTCTTCATAGCATGCAGAGGGAGGACGGGAAAAGGAATTTGCAACTGCGAGTGAAGAAGCACTAGAAAAAACACAGTATGGCTAGGAGTTGAAGACAACTACGTCTGGACCTCATGCAAACATCTGTGAACGAGGCAGGGTTCCATTAAAGCCTCAGACAAAAGCTTCATCAGACAATTGACTTGTCAAGACCTTAAATGCTTTGCGATGGTATGCTACCCTACCAGCACCTGGCTAGTCTAATGACCAGGGGCATTTCTATCTCACCTGAAGGTACAGCAGTATACAGTCAGATATGGCCAGCAAACCTTTGAAAGATGATGGGGGTGGGATTTAGGGATGCTTAAGTAATTAAAAATAACCCCGCAGGAATTCAATATGTATTCTATGGGAAGAGTCAATTAAGAAGAGACAGGTTTGTATCTACTTGTAGCTGCAGATGCCAAGGAAGAGATGAATTAATTATGACAATAAAATAGAGTGTATAAGCAAAGGCAATAGGAAGAAATGAGGGGATGACATGGCATCTTTCAGCTTGCAAAAGAGTCTCTTCAGGGATAAGGCAATAAGAACAATAGACTATTAAGAGCCTTCAAATTATTATACTTGCTACGTTGACTTACAGAAAGAAAAGGTTGAAAAGCCTTAATGAAATAGAGAACTACATATAATCAGCATACTGATGCTACCTCACCTCAAAGCTCTAGATGATCTTAACTAGTAGCAAATAATGTATAACATCAATGATAATATAGATCCATTTGGAACTTAGTATTATAAATCAATTCTTAGAGGGCTGACACAGGGACAATGCACACTAGATCCCCTTCTGTGTTATCAGGGAACACTCCCCCTGTATTTATGCAAAATGCATTTACATTGTGGGGTACATGCTAATGAATACAGAATAGTTTCCACTGTGTTAAAAATGTAATCTTGTGTCACATGCAAAGGCAATTACAAGCAAAGTAGGAAGAGCTGGAAAGGTGATATTTGCAGAAGAAATGGTCCTTTAAATTTCCTTCATAAACTTAAACTGAGCAAATCAAAGAAAGACAAAAGAGATTGAGAGATAAATAGAGAAAATTATAAACTTATGAAGAGGTTTACTTGTGGGAAGGAGTGCATTTTTTGTTTTTCTTTGTTTTTTTTAACTTTTAATTTTTTAAAACATAATTGACATCTTCCTCTTCAGAAAAAAATCACGGGGAAGGAGAAGGGAATGGGGATAAAACCAGAGTAGATTGTGCTGCCTGCTGTTATCTTCCCACATTTGGGGAGAATCAGTGGGACTAGCTTCCCCATTCCCTTCCACCCAAAAGGAATTCTCAAAAGCTAGTGCAGCCTCTCTCCTGTGTTGCCTTTCCCAAGAATAAGCACCAATAAAAGAATGCCTAAGTAAGGACCACCAAAGATAATGTAATTTATTTCTGAGTAGACAAGTATATCTGCATGTTTTCTGTTACTGTATAACAGCATATAAGACAACTCACATATAAGACAAGGTCAATATTTTGGGTTGTTTTTCTGGTGTTTATCATATGTTGGGCATATAAGACAACCACCAATTTTTGCTTCACTATTTTTGGTTTCATGGGACCAGAATATATAGTAAGCTGTAAACAGTTGCTGGTGTTTTGCAAAGCTCAGCCAAGAGCAGCCTTCGTTGCATAGTATTTGAAGCAATGTGGGAGATCTGTGCTATGCGCATCAGGAAATACTACTAATAAAGAAGCTCAGTACAGCTCTTTCTCTTGCAGCATCTCTTCCCTCTGGCCCACCAGCCCATGCTCCTCCCTGGAACAGTGCTGCATGTTTAGCACACACCTCAGGAAAAAAATGCAGGACATAAAACCACTGAACTAGTCTGATGAAATCTGGGATATGGTGGCAGAAATAGCATGAAGAGGTTAAGTTGGGGTCAGTGTCTTGTGACATGTCAGCGAGTTGGGCATTACAATGTCAAAAATCCCTAGGAGAAATCTCCACCTCATCTTCATTGCCTTCATATATGAACAGACAGAATGAACCAAATCACTACAGCCAGTCTTGATGTTCCCAACAGATGCACCAGATGAGGCAAGAGAGTTGTGTAGGCCAAAACTGCAGAAGCCACTGAGAAATCCAATGAGAGCCACAGGGAAGTATTTCTTCAGTCAGCTTCCAGATAAAGATTAACTAGGAGTGAGTTTCTATGCATGTTTAGGCAGCAAAAGTCCTATAGCATTTTCTAAGCACTCACGCTAGCTGGAGAATGCCAGGTGTTGTAGAATTGTTTCTGGCCAAATATACACAAGATTGCACCCAAAGTAGCCATAGCCAGATTACAAGCCATCACGAAAAAGCTTGAGATAAGATCAAAACAGAAACATATAAACTGAGCAAGTCAGAAGGTGCCTCCCAGGCCACCTAGTTTGACCCCCGGCTCCAGCTGGCTCTGCTCATGACATCCCTACCATGTGCATGTCTAGCCTATCCATGAACACCCTCACCGATGGGGCTTCAACCATCTCCTGTGGAAGCCCATTCCATACCCTAGGAGTCCTAACTGTTAGGAAGTACTTCCTGGCATCCAAATTGAACCCTGGTTTCTTGAGCTTGGCTCCATTGGAACTTGTCCTGCCTTCTTCTGCAGGGGAGAACAGGTCTCTACCCACCTCTGTGTGACACTCCCTCACATACCTGTATGTCACCAACAGATCCCCTCAGAGTCCCCTCTTCTCCAAGATGTACCATCCAAGAAAATCTAACATTTCTATGTCACTATCCATGCCACCACTTCCCCTAAGGGAACACCAGTATAAAGTTAGATTCTCCAGGCACTGACTCATCAGAATTCTTCCAGCTGTTTTCCATAACTGGTCAACCTGGTACCTTAATTAATTTCTTCCCTCAGATCCTCAAAGTTTATTTTGCTTGTCTGAAAAGAAAGCTCGTGCATTTACAGACACTGTGACACTCTGAAGCCCATAGAAACAATAAAATAATTGCACATAAAATATCTGTCAATACAATATGCTGAATGTTTTACTGTCTTACCTGTGCCACTTCTTCAAAATCATCATGTCTTTTCTGAAGAGCTCGTGCCCTATGAAGGGACTTTCCCACTCCAGTGTGTTTACTAAGAAAGGCTTCCCCATGGTTTTCAATCCAGTCTAACACCTGAGCAGAAAAGAAGAATATCCATTATCTTACATTGCTGTGCAGTGCACTACATCCAAATATCTGCGGACACCATTTAGACACAAAACTTTTGTATCTCAGTGGATTCTACAGCTTGAGAAGTCTGTCTATTCTAACTTTCAACAATGTTCACACCCAGAACTGATCAGTTCCAAAATAAAATGCTTTTCACAGTTTCATGATAACTTGCCAGTACTGAATAACTGTTATAAGTTCATTTCTATCTTATATAACATCCATTTCTTGATCATTGCCCAAGATTTTAGAAAAGACATGGCTGCGTTCTAAACTGGTGGGAATGGGAAATGAATCAAAATGAACCACCACTATCATCATCTGGGAGAAACATTTCTAACTATTAGGTTTCCCTTCTGTTTAGATCCTATGTAAATGGAACTTGCATCTTGGATAAGCAATGATATGTTTCACATGAGCAAGCTATCTCTAGACAATATATCAAAAATGAATTTGAACTGTAAAGGTAGGGATAAATTTAAGATGGGAGTATGCTTATTTTGACATTTAATGTGGAGGGTCCTTAACCTATAACCTATAACACTGACAGTCCTTTCAAGTAACATCAGATCCCAACATATCCACTGTAACGGATCACAGTGAAAGCAAATGGCAACCCTGATCTTCAATGGGCTTAAAATATCATCTTTCTAAAAATATCTCATCTGTCTTACAGCTGTGTATTAGAAGAAACATCTCTCAAACAATAAAAGTATTATCCATTATCTCTCCACATTTAATACAGATAGACTGTATACAGAGGATTCAAGGTGGAATGCATGTATAAATGTCATTATTGGGCCAGTCAGTTAGCAAGGATTAGCAAGGATGCAGTTGGAAAGTTTAATATCATATTACCACCCTCTTAATTTAACTGGATTTCACAAGGACATAGCACTTTTTCCCCCTGAAAGAATTTCTCTGGACCAAATCATAACATCCAATGTGTGTTCCCCTCCCAGGCAGCTTGGATACTGAAATGGCTAAACACCAACTACTAGGTGGCTTGAAATCTTATTTTCCCAAGATGCACTTTGTATGGATGACAGGTTCCATGGAAATGAATCAAATGTTCAATTGGTGGGCATGTTTAAGGCTTGTATTTCAGTGGTATATTTTATATTGCTAAAATGAGTGCTTTGTGTGTGCATTTCTGTGTACTGTGCTGAACACTGTAAATACATATTTGACAGATGTTTGCAGTCAGCAGTTTCCAGGGTTCTAGACACTAGTAGTGTAACTGTGAGTGCAGATGTAGTATAAACTGCAGAAGCTTTAGGCAGGAAGTATATGTTTGTCTAAAATATACTAAATAAATATATGTATGCTTATCATTCTTGCTGCCCAGAAAACAGAAACAGGAGGGTCTTGAACAACATTGCAGCCTAGTCTTTAAAAAAGATGGCTACATTAATTAAATAGTCCCATCTTTGGCCAAAACATAATGTGCAATAAGGTATTGTTAGGAAGATGTTCCTGGCTAATCTTAGATATTGCAATGGAACATGGGGTGGGGGGGGGTGCGTATGTGCACATTGTTTTTAAGAAGTGGGACTTTATAAGTTAAAACCAACCATAGATGACAATACAAAACCCTAAATCATAATAACACCAGTGGCATTTACATGACTGTCATATGACTACATGTATTGGCTGTGTGTGTCCATTGCTCCAGTGAAGCTGGACTTAAGTCATCTAGGAATGCACAAGATTTTTTTCGGGGGGGGGGGGGAGGTTCCTGCAGATAGTTCTGCCTAACACCACTGCTGTATATTTGGAATTTCTGTGGATGTGCAGTTATACTGAGATGTTAGGAACACCATTTTCACAGCAATCATGTTCCCTGTGAGAATCAACCAGTTATTTCAAAATGAATTTTGTAGGCATTTTCCTCACCAGTTACCTACTGAAAGCACAGATCCTGCTAGCTAACGCATATTCTTCTGTGCCATTGAATTTTGGCTCCTGTTTTGAATCACAGCAGAAAGTAGCTCTTCCTCTTCATGCCAGGCTATTGCTAATCAAGTGGCTGTTGTTCTCTTCATAACCCGGACAATACTTTTATGATTGCCTCTTCAGAAGAGTTATTTGCAATAGCAAATAAGTGGTTTTTCCTCTACGAGTATTTGCTATGTATATTTATTATTTATTTACATTATTGATGATCCACCTTTTAGGGCAAGCCCGTCTTTCACTATAAATGACTTTGCACAGCTCCAGATTTACCCAGTCTGATTTTGTACAGTCATCATAAGCATTATCCCCTTTGCCACAGAATTCATCACCAGAGGGTTCTAGAAAAGAATGCTACAGCTTAAAATGTCAACTCATATAATGTTGCGGGTGCTGGATGTTTTACGCTGTCACTACACACAGAACATTCCCAATCCTTCATTCTGCAAGAAGAGAGGATTTCTATCCATTTTAGTAGAAATTGTATTTAGCTTTCCAGTACCAAATCCATCACTTTCAAACAGTTCCATCTGTCAGCTATATAATTCAACCACATTTAAGGCCCATTAGAGAAGGCAAGGTAATTATAAAAGCATTTTATCTGCTGCTGTAGAAGGAAACACTTCACCAACCAACACATTTTCTCCTCTTCACGCCATCTTTTTGCTACAGTACCTTTTCTTACCAGCCTCCACCACATTCTCCTTTACTTGGAAAGATCAAGCTTCAGACTTGTCTTTTCTCATGTTATTTGCGCATTTACTGGTGATCACGGGTAGCCTGATTATCTGTGGCCTTAAGGTTAGTCAGCAAGCCTGCTTGAATTCCTCAGGCAGGGTTTGGTTTATCACTGAAGGAATAGCTGATGCTTAATCTCTGTGCATATTTTTATGCTGCTCCACCTCTCTGGATCTTCTTTTTTATGTAGCTGTAATGGCCTCACCTCAATGAGGGCAGGAACAGCCCAGTCCAGTTTGCTGAAGCAGCAGTTACCTACTTCTTGCAAGGATAACTCTTCACAATACTACAGAAGGAACAGAGGACCAGTATCCTACTGTTCAGGCTCACAGTTGCAGCTAAGGATGATGAGCCACAAGAAGCATACTTTCCATTGTGCTGTGGATCTTTGTGTGCTATCTAGCCAGAGATCTCTTTCTCTATCCCAGTGAGCAGGAGAAAAAAACAGAAGCAAACTATCATCATTGCAATCTCCTTAAATAGTTTACCCTTTAATGCTAGCTTATTATTAAGCTGATGCAAGCTACACTGGGAGACTTGTGAAATGAAAAGTGTGATAAAAATGTAACCATGATAAATAAATTCCTCTTCTAGTTTCTAGTAGTAGCTATCCCGTTATCTTCACCATGCTACAAATTTTGGGAACGCTACAGCATGGCCTAGAGCTCAATTTTCTTTAGAACCCAATCCAGAATTCAGTTTAATGTTGAGAAGAGTTGGGTGGGTTTACCAATTACTACGAGTAGCATCTGGCAAACTCATCATCACAACATGCACATGGGAAGAAGGAGCTTTTTATGGCTCTCCCCTGGTCTAAATTCAGAGCCACCCAAACATGACTTTATCATCACCATGTAGATAATCCCTCTTTCTGAAGAAAAAAGTGACATATACTGTGCCGACATTTGTACATATAAGCAGCACTTATTGGGATGGATCATGACACTGAAAATTGTTTATAGGGTCTGCCACCTTCAGTATGCCCTTCTCCCTCCATAGCAACTTTAAAAATAAAGACACACTTCTTTCTTGAAAGTCTGGGAGCTAATCCAGGAGCTATTAGAAATAATTTTCTAATCACATCCTGCCTACTCTCCTTATTCTTGTTGAAAAGCCTACCTCCCATATATAATCATCCAAGTCTCTGAAAGAGAAAGAACATGCAATCTGTTTTCTCCTTGAAAGGAAGAACAACCTTGTAGACCTATTGATATTCTTTTGCTCAGCACAACTAAATTAATGAAGAAAATTAAGTGCCGAGGCAATTACGACTCTTAAATCATCCCACTTTATCCTACTCTTGCCAACATTAAGGTGAAAAACTCCCTTAAAGTCAACACATGGTACACTTTATAAGTTGGCTATCCAATCTGCGATGGTTTCATTCAGCTACATATACTCTTTATATTGTAAAACAAACAGTGCAATCAGACATGTCTACTCAGAAATAAGCACCACCAAGTAATTTGGATTTATTCCCAGGTGAGTGTCCACAGATATCTGGATATCATAATCTATTGTTGTGTTTTAATTTTTATGTACATTGGCCTAGCATTGCACACCAACTTTGGACTATTCTCAGTCGCCATTCAAAGTACTGGTGGGAGGGGGCTGCTATTCAGAGGGTATGACCTTGGAAAAATAAAAAAGTAGATGATGATCATGATGTGCAGGGAGCAGAGAGCTGCAGGATTCTAGTGTGCCTCTACTGCCATTGCCTGCCCCTGCCCAAAGTCAGACAGATGGGTTCAGAGGCATCTAGCAGGACTTTTTATCTTCAAAGATGAACTGGATCAGCCTCTCACCCTGCCTGGCTCTTGCCAGAAGGGCACAGGATGGAGACTCTGATTTCAGAGCCCTCTATCTGAAAGGGCTCTATCAGGACAGGGCAATCCACACATGTTCTTTCTTGATCATTTTCACATAAGTGGCTGCATGACTGGCAACAGCTACACAGTGGAAGCTTTCCAGTAAAATGTCCTTGATTGTTGGTATCAAAAGCTATAAAACATTGGTTTCTTTGTGTGTTTGAGAAGCTGACACATAAAGTAAAATTTTCTGAATAGGAGCGGGCAGAAGGTATATTTTAAGTCTTGCACTTAAAAAACACAATGTTTTGCCTTTCAGGCAGGAGCAACCAGAGCCTGTGATCCTCTAAGTCATATTATGAAATTAACCTGCTGTGCTCACAAATAAGCCCCCTGCCTCCCAACCAAAACATTGAGTGGGTTCACCCATCACACTAAATCACCCTGGCTTGTCTGTTCGCAGAA